ACATTAAAGACCGAAGACCAGAGGAGTTGTGGAATGACAGTACAAATACCACACATGAAGAAAGCAAAAGATCATTAGAAGAAAGAACAAAACAAAATGGAGGTCATAAGAGTCTCTTAAACCCTCTCTTGAACAAACAGAATCTAAACCCACTGTAAGAAATGATGAAGTAAAAGAGCGAAATAGAAAATTTCAAAGGACAGCTTGTAAAGATAAAGTCAAGTAGTACAGTGAAATGTGCAAAGACCTGGAATTAGAAAATCAAAAGGGAAGAACACACTCAGCATTTCCCAAGATGAAAGAACTGAAGAAAAAAATTCAAGCCTTAGGTTGTAATAATGCAGCATTCTATGGGTATCTATTGTGGTGCCATAGGATCAACACTGGACTTCGAAACACAAGGTTGGCAGTTGAAACCCATCATCTACTCCTATATACAGGGTTATAATGAGTTGTAACTGATTCAACAGCACTTAACAAAAATAACAATGGGAAAAACATTGAGTGATGCAGGAAACATCAAAAGAAGATGAAAGGAAGAAACAGAGTCACTGTATCAAAAAGAATTGGTCAATGTTCAATTATTTCAATAACCAATAGTATTGAAGGAAGAAGCCCAAGCGTCACTGAAGGCATTGGCAAAACAAAACAAAAACATAAAAAAACAAGGTTCCATGAATTGAAGGAATACAAATTGAGATGTTTCAACAAGCTTATGCAGTACTGAAGGTGTTTGCTTATCTATGCTAAGACATTTAGAAGACAGACCCCTGGTCAACAGATTAGAAGAAATCTAGGTTTGTGCCCATTCCAAAAGAAAAGTAACCCAACAGAATGTGGAAATCACCCCAACAGTATCATTAATATCACATGCAAGAGAATGCTACTTAAAATAATTCAAAATAGGTTATAGCAGTACATTGACAGCTACCAGAAATTCAAGCCAGATTCAGAAAAGGATGTGGAGCTATGGATATTATTGCTTAAGTCAGATAAATATTAAGTGAAAGCAGAGAATACCAGAAAGATGCTTACTTGTGCTTTACTGAATACAAAAAAGATATTGACTCTGTGGATTATAACAAACTATGGATAATAATCTGGATATTCTAGAATGCTTAATTGTGCTCATGAGGAACCTGTACATAGACCAAGAATCAGTCTTTAGAATAGAACAATATGCATAAAATTCTTGATGGTTTGGGTTTATATCTAGGAAAGGTATTTGCCAGTGTTGTATCCTTTCACCATATGTACTCAATTTGTATGCTGAACAAATACCTGAGAATCTGGATTATATGAAGAAGGATCCAGATTATATGAAGAAGAATGGGGCATCGGAATAAGAGGAAGTCTCATTAACAACCTGTGTATGGTGCAGATGATGAATACTTGCTGGAAGCGAAGAAGACTTGAAGTACTCATGAAGATCAGAATCTAGAGTCTTCAGTATGGATTGCACACCAATAAAAAGAAAATAAAAATCTCCACAACCAGACCAATACATAACATCATGATAAACAGATAAAAGATTAAAGCTGTCAAAGACTTCATGCACATTGCTTGGATCCACAATCAATGTGAATGAAACCAGCAGTCAAGACATCAAAGGACATAATGCATTAAACAATGCTGCAAAAGACCTCTTTAAAGTGTTAAAGAGCAAATGTGTCACTATGAGAAAGAAAGTGTGCCCCACCTAAACCATAGCATTTTCAATTGCTTCATAGCATACAAAAGCTGGACAATAAATAAGGAAAACCACAGAAGACCAAGAATCAACACATTTGAGTTCTGGTGTTGGCAAAGAATACTGAAAGTCCCATAGACTGCCAGAAAACAAATCTGTCTTCGAAGAAGGACAGCTAGAACGTTCCTTAGAAACAAGGATGGCAAGACATCGCCTCTTGTAGTTTGTTGTTGTTGTTGTGATGTGCCGTGGAGTCGGTTCTGACCCATAGTGACCCTGCACAGGGTTTCTGAGGCTGTAAATCTTTATGGGAGCAGAAAGCCTCATCTTTCTCCCGTGGAACCACTGGTAGTTTCGAACTGCTGACAGTGAGGTTCACAGCCTAATTCGTAACCACTACGCTACCAGAGCTTAGACAAGTTGAAAGAAGGAACCAGTACCAGCATGCTTGGTAAAGTGGAGAGACAGAGAAAAAGTGGAAGATCCCCAATGATATGGATTGCCACAGTGACAACAACAAATATAACACCAATGGTGAGGATAGTACAAGGCTGGACAGTGTTTCATTCCACTGTAAACTGGAACCAACTCAACAGCACCTAATAACAAAAACAGCTAAACATAGTGTTCACGTTTTTTTCAGAACAAAGCTCAAGATTAATTTTACACTGCAACACTAAAAAAGGCTTAGTGTAGAAGAAAGCAATGACTAGGCTCTAAATAGGATGGACAGGATTTCAAAAGACTAGGAACATGGATAAAAGTATTATAAAGGACAGCATGTGCAAAGGCCAAAAGGCTGGCAATTCTGGTTTGAACAACTGTGGATAGAACAATTGGCTTGTGAGATGAATTAAAAGATAGTAATAAAATATGTTTTCGTGAATCATCTTGGTATTATTATATAATAGTAGTTATGACATTCACTGCTATAGTTGGGGTAAAGTGAGGTGACCAAATAAATTTGCAGGTTACCTATAGTCCTACTATGTGCTTTGATGGAGCTATTATTATTAAAAGTACAAGCTTAAAGCAAGTGACATAGATCTGTCTTCTAAATGAATTTCAAGAAAAGATAATAATAGTTTTTACAAATATCTACCTAAAGTTGCCAACCATTCAGAAAGTTCTGAAGACCACTTACATTGAAAATTAAAGGGATTTTACATCTATGCTTACATTTTCACCTCAAATAAATGTTTTATTCATCTGGTCTCTAAGACTGAGTATTATTATATAATATAATTAACCTGGCTTGTTCACAGATGGTATAGACGTTGAAAACAATGTTTTTCAAAGGTTATGAGTCTGCACAGAGATGTATGACAATCAAATTCTTAGCAAATTTATGCTTTATAATATAAAAATTTAAATTTCTCTAACTAGTAGATGAATAGGGGATCTAAAATCCTTACTGCCACAGACTTCCAGTTGGGATCATTCCTGGTGGGATAATGAATAAACCCAGAGGAGATCCCATCTATACCACACACACCTCGTACACAAAAATTTTACTGTCTGCATCTTCCCATACACTACTTATCAAGTAATTCCAGAGAGTCCATTCTGACTCATAATAACCCTGTGTACCAACAGGCTGGTATAGAAGTCTACATAAGAACAATGTGGAAAAAAACGGTGTGGTGGAAAGGGCTTTGGAGTGGGACAATTCTGTGTCTTGATCCTGTTATCTGATAGTTTCTTGAAGCATGTCTCTGATATATAACCTCTCTGAATCTCCATTTCCTCATTACTGAAGTGGAGTGAGTGACATCTGCCGTTGTGAGGGTTATAACTAGTGCATGGCTCTAAAGGTTCTTGGATAATGAGAATTTTACATTAAACTATGAAAATAATATTAGTTCTAGAAATGGATCAAAATATGTGAAAATAAACTTGTCTTTCATTGCAGTTAGGAAATGTTAACAGATGAATCTTCATGCTAAAATTGTTTGATAACTCCTTTTTCAACTATATACTATTTAGAAACAAATTCATTTTTCAATTAATGTGATGGAAAATTAAGAAGTATAATCCTCCCCCCATTCCCAGTTACTAATCACAACTGATAGACAAGTAGTCAAAAACATCAGAGGAAACTTGTCAACAAATGTTGTTAAATTCAACCATCCTAAAATTTGAATATTGTGAGACCACCTCTGTAAGAAGTTCTTGTTTTCATTTCATGTTTGCCTGGTGATGTGTCTTTTGGGGATTTACTTTACCATTTGATTTCAACTATAAAATGAAGATATTATATTAAAATAAACTTTTACAAAAGAGTGTTAAGTCCAGGGGACATCATTCACTTACTGTTTATTATAGATTTGTATGATATCTGACAGTTTTCCAGTAGATGGTATGAACTTCTTAAAGAAGGTGCTGATGTATATGGTAGTGACAGATGGCAAAGTTTTGAGAAAACAAACAAATACAGCATTAAACACGGATCTAACATCTCTGTGTTGATCCTAATGTCTTGAAAAATTCTAGAGTGTTATAGCTTCTCTAGAAACCTCATGTGACATCCTGATTCCAACATTAATTCCCTCTGATAACTATGACAAGTTTACATGTTGGAGCCTCAGTTCCTTGAGTGTGAGGTAAGGATGCTGAATGCATATGATATTTTGAGATACTTTTCCAGTAGAACTGAAAACATTATGAGCACTTCTTTTTCAGGAAATCTTATGTAACTAAGTACTCTATATAAGATTGTAAAGAAGGAAAAAAATAATGTAGATAGATAGATGGAAAGAAAGTTGTAATAAAATACTAACAGTAGTGATCTTGGAACTAATTTATTTGCATTCCTTTTACTTTCTTGTATTAAAGTTAATTACTTTAATGATTACTTTTATAACATAAAACTCAGAAACTTAAAAAACTGTTGAGAACAGATGAAAAAAAAAGTTCAGATATATCAAACTGCCTGAAACAATTTATAGCTTAATCTAAAAATGATGTCTGCATTAGTTCATTATCCCAAAGATTCAGTTAAGTGTAATTTTTAAAGACTCAAAATGCATATTTCTTGTCCAAAATAGCATCCTTTTTCCAGGTGTTTTATATGCTATGCTATAGAAACATTGTTGTTCCTGTTAAGTGCTGTTGAGTCCATTCGGGCTCATGATGACCCTACACAAAGTTTCTGAGGAGCAGCTGGTGAAGATATGTTGCTTTATAACACTTTCTAAATCAATGCAAATTTGATTTCCTTCTAAACCTAGTATTTGATAATGTGCATTATTTCTTCTTTGGAACACAGGTTCAATTATAATATAAATGACTACACTGAAATGTAGCTTACCTGGTTGAAACACATTTTCAGCTTTGTGTTTGTCTGTTCTGGGCATTGCTCCACCTGTTTTTGTAAATGACAATATAACAGGGTTATTAACTTTTAGAGCTGTCCAAAATAGCTATAACATTCAAGTATATATAAAGATAATATGCATTCAAGTTTATATAAAGAATCAATAGCCCAGAACTGGCCAATATAGTACAGTGGGTCTTTTAAGACTGAGTCTAATTAAATGAATTAACTAAATTATGTATCTCTTCATTCCAAAAAGGATTAAGGCAGCTTAACTAAATACAGCATGGCTTAACTAAGGATGAAAAAAATCAAGATAAAGAAAAACTAAGAGGCAAAATATTAAACATTCAAGAGGGATGTCAAGAATGCAGTTGAGGTCTGAATTTCTGGGAAACAATGCCAGAGAAACTTGAGGCATCACTGGGATATGGGGTAGTATTTAAACCACAGAGTAGAGGAGGTCACCTAGAAACAGCCTTTATTAAGGAGAATAAAATGGTTCTAGAATGAACTATCAGACCAGCCAAAATTTAGAAGCCGAATGGCAAAGGAGTTGCCAGCTTATGTGACTAGGAAGAGATAGAGGAGGAAAACAAAACAATGAGAAGAAGAATGGTACCATGAAAGTAGTGCAACAAAAGTGCTTCAAGAAGGGTAAAGTGGTCAACTGGTTGAAAGTTTCTGAGATGTCAGGGAAGACAGAAACTGACTACTGAATCTGTCAGCATTGAGTTCACTAGTGATCCTGACAAGAGCAGTCCTAGTTAACTATTAACAAAGATTTTTGCTGTTGTTAAGTGCCTTTGAGTAAGTTCTGACTCATAGAGACCCTGTATAGGGCTTCCAAGGAGTAGCTGTTGAGTTCGAACCATCAACCTTGTGGTTTCAAAGTGACCTAGCCATCTATTGCTTATCCTATAGCACCAAGCAATGATTATTGATTAACAAATTGAGGATTTCACCAAGGATCAGATTTATGCACATGACATCTCTGATTAATAATTGGATTCACTTTGCACTAGTAGTCTTTCCATAGTTTTGCATCACCTCCTTAGACACTACTCAGCATGCTGGTAATGAAGAAGAACACCTCTTGTAGCACTGGACTCTTCTTTGCTGATACGAGCAGTGAAACTTGGCCACAGGCCTACACACCTCCCTCAGTGGGTGACCAGGGCACCTAATGTTACTGTCCCACCTACTCCTCACCTGAGCTTCTAAATGATGCCTGAGAAAGTGTTTCTAAGGGACAGAAAGTCAATTTTTGGTAGGGGGAGGTAAGTCAGGTACTATATTGTATTTCTTTTGGTCTTTGCAGTTGATTTTTGTCAGTCCATAAAGTCTCCACCTACCATATTTAACTTTTGCTCACAATGATATAAAAAACAGGTTCATTTCTGAGTTATCTAATTGATATAAAGATACTCATATTCTTTCACTTAAGCCATTCTAGATCCTTTCAATGGTACACTTAACATGTTTGCCTCACTGAAGATTAAGTTCATTTTATTCTCTCATTCTCTGAGTCCACAAAGTTCAGCTTACCTCAGAATTTGGTAGAGGTTCCTCCACATATGTGTAGTCTAATTCTGATGGTAGTTGATACTCGGGAAAAAAATACAGAAGAAACTCCCTAGAAACATAAACAAATCAGAACTGAGAGTATACCAGGTCAACACAGCACTCACCTGTTAGAATTAGTGCCATCCCATAAGTATTAAACATTTGACAAAGATGGACAATTGTATCTCTTAGATACATTGCTTTTACAGTTAGCATTGAAGTGTTCTCCAAAAAGCAGAGACTGGAGAGAAACGTAGTTGTGACTACAAAAGAGTAATAGCAGGGACATGGGTAGTGAAGGAACTGTTATATTCCTTGATTATATCAATATTGAGATCTGGATTGTGCTACTATTCTATAGTTCTGAAAATACGTTACAATTAGGAGAAAGTGAATAAAGGATATGTGAGATTTCTCTGCATTGATTCTTAAAATTTAATGTGAATCTACAGTAATCTCAAAATTAAAAATTTAAAGCAAGCAAGTAAATTACCAAGCATGAACTTACAGTACCCAGCTATCCATAATGGTGCAATCCAGCAGTCTTATACCTATTTGCCTTTTTTTTCTTTTTTTTTTTTCAGTAAAAGTCCTCTGTAAAGTACTTACTCATTGCAAACATTCTGAGACTAATTATGGGCATGTTAACTTTTCTTAGGCTGGCAGGTTTGAACTGCTGACCTTATGGTTAGCAGTTCAGTGCTTATCATAATTTCAAAGCAATTCAAATTAAATAGTTAGAAATTTTCAGCATTGTATAAATATCATATAGAGAGCTATAGAAATATGTAGCTATCTCTATATACATACCTTCTATACTCCATGTCCACACACACATGCACACACATACTCAGAACCATTTGTCTGACAGATAAGACGTAGGAAGATGAGTAGGATTGGGGAGCAAAGTGAAAAGATGCTCCCTGTGGATGAGAAGAGGATAATCACATGACAAAGAACTTAAAGATATAACTGGAGTCCCCAAGAAAGTTTGATGGGGTAGAAGGGATTAGAGATCTTTTTCATTAATCATTCCAGTTTCCTCCCTAAACAAACTTTCCTTCCCTCACCACAGGGTTCAAATCTCTTCTGAGAGTTGGTGCTTTAAATGGTAGACACATATTCACCTGTGTTGCAATAGGTTATAAGTCAGAAATCACTCAATAATCTACTCTGAAATACTGCACACATGATAATAAAATCGAGATTTGTATTCTTGTTAAACATTGTTTCTCTTCTCATGAGTTGAAAAATTAAACAACCTAAACATCTTTGTAGAGTGGTCCAGTGATAGAATGCTCACCCTCCATGCAGCAGATCCTGGTCTATTCCTGGCCAGTGTACCACAAGCAACTACTAGTGGAGATGGAAATGTTGTTATGTGCCATTGAGTTGGCACCAACTCATAGCGACCTTATGCAAAGCAGAACGAAACACTGCCCGATACTGGGCCAACCTCACTACTGTTGCCACGCTTGAGTCCATCAATGCTGCCACTTGGCCAATCCATCTCATTGGGGGTCTTCTTCCTTTTCTCTGACCCTCCACTTTACCAAACATGATATCCTTCTCCAGTGACTGGTCCCTCCTGACATATGTCCAAAATATGAAAGACAAAGTTTGGCCATCTTGGCCTCCAAGGAGCACTCTGGCTGCACTTCTTCCAAAACAGATCTATTGATTGTTTTGGCAGCCCATGGCACTTTCAATACTCTCCTCCAGCACCATAACTCAAATGCATCAATTCTTCTACGGTCTCCTTTATTCACTGTCCAGCTTTTGCATGCATATGAGGTCATTGAAAATACCATGGCTTGGGTCAGGCGCACCTTAGTCCTCAAGCTGACATCTTTGCTCTTCAACACTCTAAAAAGGTCTTGTGCAACAGATTTTCCCAATGCAATAAGTCATTTGATTTCTTGACTTCTGCTTCCATGAGTGTTGATAGTTGGTCCAAGAAGAATGAAGTCCTTGACAACTTCAATCATTTCTCCATTGATAAGAATGTTGTTTATTGGTCCAGTGGTGAAGATTTTTGTTTTCTTTATACTGAGAATTAATCCGTACTGAAGGCTGTGCTCTTTGATCTTCATCAGTAAATATTTTAAGTCCTCTTCACTTTCAGCAAGCAAGGTTGCATCATCTGCATATCACAGGTTATTAAAGAGTCTTCCTCCAATCCTGATGATACATTTTTCTTCATATAACCTAGCTTCTCGGATTATTTGCTTAGCATACAGGTAGAATAAGTATGGTGAAAGAATACAACCCTGTCACACACCTTTCTTAATTTTAAAACATTCAGTGTTCTCATGTTCTGCTTGAACAACTGCCTCTTATTCTATGTACAGATTCCTCATGAGCACAATTAAGCATTCAGGAATACTCATACTTTGCAATGTTGTCCTTAGCTTGTCATGATGCACACAATTGAAAGCCTTTGCATAGTCCATAAAGCACAGGTAAACGTCTTTCTGATATTCTCTGTTTTTAGCCAAGATTCATCGGACATCAGCAATGATATCCCTCATGCCATGGCCTCTTCTGAATCCAGTTTGAACCTCTGGAAGTTCTCTGTCAATGTATGCTTGCAGCTGTTTCTGTATTACCTTTAGTAAAACTTTACTCGCGTGAGATATCAAAGAGATTGTCCGATGATGTCCGCATTCTGTTGGTCAAAATGGATGTTAGAAGAGACACTGAAACTTGCTCTCTAGCATAGAGATGCTAAAGCAAACAGGGCTTCTAGACTAAGGTAAATTAGGAAGAAAGTTTAGTGATCTACTGTCGAAAATCTACCAATGAAAACCCATGAAACACAATAGCTCAATTCACAGTTGATCATGGGATGGTACAGAACTGAGCAGTATTTTGTTCTGGTTTGCATGGGGTTATCATAAATCAGAAGCTGGCTTGATGGCAACTGTAGGAAAAGCACTAAACTGTTAACCCCAAGGTCACTGGCTCAAACCCACCAGCCTCTCCTTAGCAATTCTATGCAGGTTCATTATAAGTTAGAACTGGCTTGATAGCACACAACAACATGACAACAGAGTTGTTCTCTGCATCTAGGCCCTTGATTATCATGCACATCTGAGTTCAATTCCTAGAGAATCCATGTCCAGGTCTGAAAATTTGAAGTAGAAGCTTATAGAGTTAAACTAAATTAACTAGAAACTAAATATGTACTGTTTCTATAAATGAAGGCCTAGTTTTGCAAACCTGTACAAGGTTACTATGTCAGAACCAACTCAATGGCTCTTAACAACAACAATAAATTTTGCAAAGGTCTAATTAAGGGCAAAATATTCCTTTTAATTTTGGAGTTATATTTCTCTCTCTACAGAGTACTTTTCCACTGAGAAAAATCTCTCTTACTTAAAATAACATAATTCTACTGATTCTAAACAAAGACGGGGTTACATAGAAGTATCTGGGCATCTAGCTATTCTTTAAAACAGTTACCAGGTTACTTAGCTTAGTAGTGGCTAAAGGTAAGGGCATGTTTCTTACTTTAGGTTAACTGAAACACTCTTTTTCAACTCAGTGAGAAAGACCAGGATGAAATGTAGATGACATGACCCTGATAAAACAGGAATCAGATCATGTTTTCTGAGAGACCTCAACTATTAGTTTATTTTTGTTTCTCTTTTTATTGTATGAGCAATTTCCCACAATTTGCAAAAAGCTTTTGTCTTTTTCAAAATTATATTTGCTATTTTTTTAATTTATGACAACACCAAGTGAATATGGACTTTTGAATTAAATGCAGTCTGCTTTGTTTTGACATTTACATATACAATAATAAACTAGATATAAAAAGTATTATAGCTAAGTGGTTCAGAAACTGGACTATGTGGCCAGACCACCAGAATCCACCCAAATTCTATCACTGAGAATTGCTGTTGTTTGGTGCCCTCAACTCGACTCCAACTCATGGTGATGTTGTGCATAACAGAACGAAACACTGTGTAGTCCTGCATTATCCTCACAATTGTAAAGCTTGCACCCATTGCTACTGCACTATGCTGTGCATAACAGAATGAAACACTGTGTAGTCCTGCATTATCTTCACAATTGTTAAGCTTGCACCCATAGCTACTGAACTGTCTCAATCCATCTTGTTAGGGCCCTTCCGATTTTTGCTGACCCTCCACCATTTACCAAGCATGATATCCTTCTCTGAGCACTGGTCTCTTCTGATAATATGAGCAAAGTATGAGAGACAAAGTCTCACCATCCTGGCTTCTAAGGACTATTCTGGTTATACTTCTTCCAATACAGATTTGTTTAATCTTCAAGCAGTCCATGGTACTTTTTTTTTTTTTTCTTTTTAAAGTTTTTATTGTAAATTGAGTGGTAGTTTAAATGGGAGAACATCGGTTTTACACCATCGTTTCATTGCAATGATTATAATCTCCTCCATGCATCATCATTCAACAGTATTTGCATCTATTCCCTCTGATTTTTTTTTTGATGGGGGGGGGGGAATGGAGGGATGTACACAAAAACAGTCAAGAATATATAACAATTTAAACAGCCAAAGGGCACATTCTGCAAGCCTGCCTTCTGGCCACCAGCACTCAGTCCCCCTCTTTCCATGAGTCTAGAGTCCTCAGCTATTCTCTCTCTCCATGTCCCCATCTCTGTCTCCATCTCTGATGTCTCTGCGTCTCTGTATAGGGTCCCACATTCTGCTCGTGCTCTTCTCCTTTGATGGTTCTAAGATCCTCTGTTTCTGAACTGTAAGATTAACTATGCACCTATTTTTGTTACAAAACTTTACCTTTACAGTTGTGATGGTTGCAATTAGTCAAGATAACAATTCCTCACTATTGAATCATAAGAATCTTATCCCCATCTCTTTTCACTAGACCCATTTAGACAAGATGAAAACTATTCAGTGGAGTCATGGTACTTTTAATAACCTTATTCAACACTATAACTCAAATGCCTCTCAATTCTTGTATAGTCTTTCTTATTCATGGTCCAATTTTCATATGTGACGATATTTAAAATGCCATGGTTAGGGTCAGGCATACCATACTCCTCAAACTAACATTTTTGCTC